CAACTGCATGCCTCGGTTCCATTTCACCTAACTCAGTTGGCTATCTCAGAATGTTTTACCCCAGTGTGGCCATTTTGATAATGTTGATCCTTCCACTCTGAGAGCGCAAGATACCTTTGCATTTCCTCGCGTCATCTTTAATTTCCTTCCTCGGTGTTTCACAGTGTTCAGAGCACAGGGAACCTCCTTGGCGAAGTTTATTTCTAGGCATTTTGTTCTTTTTGATGCAACAGAAATGTTTATGCCAGTTGCAAAATTCTGGTTTTTGAAGGGAAACAAGCAAAAAAAGTGAACGAACGGCCGCAAATAGCAAAATACCCTTCTTTCTTATGGGAGGGTTGCGTTCCATTACATACATATATGCCGTATCTTCCTTATGCATTCATCTGCTGATGTGCATGTGGGATGCTTCCATAGCTTGGCAATTATAAATAACGTTGCTGTTAACAGCTGGGTGTATGTGTCCTTTTGAATTAATTCTTACTTTGCGGTTGGCTTTATCCCTTTGGTAACTACGTAAGTTTCAAAAGCTAAAGCTCTAAACGTTTTTAGAAACAATGAACAGTACATATATGCAAATTAAAAAATATGTGCAGTATATTGTGTATACGTATTTACATGCACTATATTATACATTGCAGTCAAATTGTAACAATTCTTCCTAATAAAATAATAAAAATGAAAAATGAAAAAAAAAAACGTTTGACCCCAGCAAAGTCACAACATCATGGTGCTATTTAAATAATTTTACAAATGTTAACACATGCTACAAGGATCATTCTTGCCGCTTTTTAAGAAATGAAAATACAGGCGTGCACAAAGCAGGTCCTCATATGTGCTTTGCCTTCTGTTTAATCATTCCAAAAGCCCTGCCCAGACCGTGAACCCTTCAACAGCATGCTGTACCAGAGGGCTCCGAGATCACACCTGAGGCCCCATGATTTGCCAGAAGGACTCACTGAGCTCAGAAGAACGGTTGCATTTACCTCCATCCTTCGCATTATGGTTTATCATAGTGAAAGGATCCAGGTTCAAATGAGCCAGGGTACAAGGTGCGCAGGGAAGCGTCCAGGACCGTGAACTTGTAAGTAAGTTCATTCATGTCTTCTGTCGTGAACTTCAGTCCTTCCGTCGGGGGAGTTGGGCAGACAGCTCTTAATGCTTCCAGCAAGGTTGTGCAACACCAGATGTAGAAGGCTGTCAACTGAGGGAGCACAGCTGAGCCGTGCTGGCCAGGGTTTTTACCGGGGGAGTCAGTCTCACAGGCACAGAGCGTGAGTATGAAGACCTTCGTTACTCATTATCCAGTCCTTCCCCGCAGAGGTCAACGGGATGCAGCAGAGCCTAGGGCTCCTGGCAAACAAAACTGTGGTTCTGACATCAATCACGTGGTTGGTTAAGCTATCTGACGTAGCCCAAAGCCCCAGGTATACAAACACACCCTTATCAAGAAGGATATACCGTGGCTCATAGATGTTTCTCCCAGGGGCCAGTAAAGGGCCATTCCTCATATTGCCACATGTAGGGTTGAAAGACCCCAAAGCTGCTGAGTTAAGCCTTTATGAAGCTGTACCTACTTCCAGCCAAGAACGTGGGACTCATACAATCAATAGACATTTGTCGGAAAAATGCTCAGTATCGTTAATTAGCAGAGAAATGCAAATCAAAATGCAATGAGGTATTGCAGTCAGAGTGGCCATCATTAAAAAGTGTACAGATAATAAATGCTAGAGAGGCTGTGGAGAAAAGGGAACCCTCCTGCACTGCTGGTGGGAATGTAATTTGGTGCAGCCGCTGTGGTGAACAGTTCGGAGATTTCTTAAAAAACTAAAAGTAGACTTACCATATGGTCCAGCAATCCTAGTCCTGGGCATATATCCAGAGAAAAATATAATTCAAAAAGACACATGGACCCCAATGTCCATAGCAGCACTATTTACAACAGCCAAGACATGGAAACAACCTAAATGTCCATCAAGAGATGACTGGATAAAGAAGCTGTGGTATATTTATACAATGGAATACTACTCGGCCATGAAAAAGAATGAAATAATGCCATTTGCAGCAACATGGACCCTGGAGATCATCATTCTAAGTGAAGTAAGTCAGACAGAGAAAGACAAATACCATATGATATCACTTCTATGTGGAATCTTAAAAAAAAAAGACAAATGAACTTATTTACAAAACAGTAACAGACTCACACACACAGAAAACAAACTTATGGTTACCAGGGAGAACAAGGGTGGGGAGGGATAAATTGGGAGTCTGGGATTTGCAGATACACACTACTATATTTAAAATAGATAAAGAGCAAGGTCCTACTGTAGCGCACAGGGAACTATGTTCAATATCTTATAATGGCCAATAATGAAAAAGAATATAAAAAGTATTTTATATATATATATATATATATTTATAACTAAATTACTATGCTGTACACCAGAAATTAACACAACATTGTAAATCAACTCTAGTTCAATTAGAAAAGCGAAAAAAAAACTTATTATAACCCAAACTTGAAGATAATGTCATATCACGATGGACTGGGATCAGAGGCAAGGACCCCCCCACCATACTTATTACTGCAAAGTGTGAAGACAGCTTTGTGCTATAACGGAGCAGAGTCAGAATTCTTTAACCCCCGAGTTCACACGGAGCGATCCTGCCCCGTTCAGCGGCGCCGTGCCCAAGCACGTCCATTACACCTCTCCGTAATATCTTATTCAAAAACCAGCTGTTGGGAAGACAATCATAAAAGCATCCAGTTTACGAGAGTTTATTATGTCCGCCAAGTGGCTTCCAGAATTTTAATGCTTTTGTCGCACCTCGGGACAGATTGCTGAAGAATTTCAAAGTACAGGCCCTACGCGGGATTTTCTCCCTGCGAGAGGCTGGGGCAATCAAAGCTAGCGGTGCATTTTATTGCACCGTCTCTCCTTGAGGGGATGCATGTTTCACTGTCACATTTCCAGAAGGTACCCCTGTTGGCAGCGTCAGGAAAAAAAAAAAGTATCTAATAAAAGTTAGCCACGTGCCTTTCCGAAAAAACTGATGACAGTGAAAACATTAAAAAAAACAGGCAGAGAGAGAAAGAGGGTGACACGAATTTTGACTTTCCAATGTATCATTTAAAATGAAAACCAGAGCAAAAGGACAATTAAGTGTGTTCTTGCTTCTCGTTCTGGGAACCCCTCGCCCCCTTTGCTTCCAACCAAAAGCAAACCCGTCCTTGGAACCCTTCCGGGTGCACGGATAAGGAAGTTGGGGGGCAGATGGATCTTGGGGCCATGAATCGCGTGACGACCTCAGAAAAACTCGCATTGTGTAGACTGCCAATGCGTGTGTCTCTCTGGCAAGTCGTTTCTGAAGACTTGTTGCAACAGCCATGACACGGGTCGCTGACAACACGAAAATCACCGAGACTCCGAACTTGACCTCGACCCGCTTACTCACTGGGAAAAGGAACTAGGTCAGTCATAGAACCAAGTCAAAGGCAACACAGTGGGGGTCATCGTGTCCACAGGAAATACACCGCATCGAAGTTTTTTTCACGAACGGTTGTCGCAAATCCTAAAAGACACCGGGGTCCCCACGCGTCCAGTGCCACCGTGTGGGGCACCGGCTTCCGTGTGGTG